CTTTGCCACCGAAAAAAGCAGCAATATTTTTTTTTGCTGTCCCTGTTTCAAAGATGATATTGGAGATACTGACAAAAAAGATGTGATTGCAGCATCCACGTGTGCAAACTCCTGCGCCTCTATGTTTATTTTGGTTGAGCTTTGGGGTCAGCACCACTTCCTTTCTTCACAGCTGCTTGTCCTTCCTTAAAGGAAAAAAGAGCAATGCAATTGACCGGCCGGTTCTAGGTCGGTTCTTGAAAGGTTGAGGGGGGAGCGGGGAAAGGATTGTCATCTGTTTATGAACACACTACTATGGGTATTCAGCTAGCAGGCAAGATTACTATAATATACTTTTTTTTTTCAAAATGGATTCTGTTTTAAAAATACCAATGCTATTTAGCTATTAAAAAAAGAAATAGGGATAATGTACTCTTTATTTCATTTTTTTATTTCACCTTTACTTTTTTTTGTCTCATTCAGATCAAAGATATCATATACAAGAGAGACCTCTTTTGGTAAAAACAAATAAAAATGTAACTCCTGAAGTTATTCTCCCAGGAAATATCTTTGTGGAAATTGGATTTTTTTTTTAGCTGGATTTCTGACCACTTACAATTGTGTTATACTAAATACAGTTCAAAAGTAAGAAGATAGATCACATAAGCCTTCCTGAAACATTTAGACTCAATAAGGATTCAGTCTGATGTTATAACTGTTATACCGGATCTATTTGTTTGACTGAGAGGATCTAGACTTAAATTGACATTTCTTCGAATCCAGGTTTTTATAACAGATATTAATAATGCCGTGGTTTGGGGGTTCTAAAGTTATTTAAATCTTACTAAAAATTCTACAATAAACCACCAAATAAACGAAAAACGGATAGTATGCATTTAAAATAAAGTTTTCAAACACGACATATGCTTTTTGAGCAACAGCTTGTAGGTTTTTTTTTTTTTTTTTCCTTGGGCAATGTCTTCTTTTTTAGTTTTTCATGTGGTTGTTTCATAATTTTGTATGCATAACTCAATTACAGTCAGGTTCTATATGTTGGAAATATGACTTTAACTTCTGTATAAAGAGGAATTAAGGGGTTTGGAGTGATGATGTTTTTGGTTTTATTAAACATATACTGTGTCAGTGTCAAACCTACATAATGCTGACAGATTTTTTGAGAGCAAAAAGGTCTGTAAGATTTAGCACAATAAATTAGGCCAATATTGTTTTGAAATGGCCCCACCACTCTTGCAAGATTCATTGATAGCAACTATTGCTTCTTTGACATCATTGTTTATCTTTTGCTTTTGGCAAATGCCAAAACTCCTGCTATTAAAGAGGTGATCTAACTTGCTGTCTCTTTTAATTAGCAACATCTGGATACTACTATTCATTCAAAATGCTTTGAAAGCAGCCCTTGGTGTATTCATAACCTTTCTGTTTAAAGAATGATGACCGTTTGCAATCCATTGTGCCTTTTTTCCTTACTTAACATTGAATGCACACACCTTTAAAAAATAACAAAGATCACTTTTATATTTTACTGAAAGGCAAAATCCTTGAATTTAAAGAGGGTGCACATTATTATGGTCATCATGTATACATAAGTTATCAGCACCTTGTATATGACCATTGAGTATGTACAGACATGCAAATTGTTTAAACATTTAACTACATAAAGCCATTGACATTGTTATATGAAAAATATTTCTTTGTTAAGCACTAATATCCATAGAGTAAAAACTGCGGGAAGAACACATTTCTTTAAGTGTAGGACATTATCAAATCGGTACCATCACTAGATTTCAATCTACATCATAAAAACCCTTTTTTTCTCCATTTTCATGTTTTTCTCACATCTTTATTTTCATCCCGTTTCTCCTACTTTTTACCCACTCTTTTCTTGCCCATGATTATGTCTCTCCTTGCACCTCATCTCTTTTAACCCACTTAGCCAATCTTCTCACTTTGTAGTGATAGCGTGTGTGTTTTTTTAGCAGCATTCTGAATTTAGCTCACAATGAAAGTTGCACTGTTCCATTTCCTTCTCCTACAATGCTTTCCTTCAGGGTGGCCCTCATTACATAAAGTCTGCATCCAGATGAGTAAGACACATGGAATATGTGCAGGAGGGACAACTGCATTTTCCTCTCCTTTTATTCACCTTTGACTCTTTTGGTCTAAGTGTATTTAAAACTTAGATAGATTAAGTTTAGGCGAGTACTGTTGGACAAGATGACTATAGTTTCTGTTTTGCAAAAAATACACAGCAAGTCGTTAAAGTTCACCACCAAATACAGGCAATTCAATTATTACCAGAACCCTTTCAAACACTAAAAGGTGTCCTGCTGTGTATACCAAAAAATCTATCAGGATGAAGTTAGCTTATGCTTTATAATTTTAATGTAAATGTCCCATTAGGTAACACTAATGTTTGTTTTCTAGGAGCTATATAATAACATTTTGGAAAAATCAGTTTTTTAAAAAAGTCTTTAAAGAACATGCATATTCTTTACAACTCTAACAGTTACGATTAGTCAGGCCTGAAACTGTTCAGTGGGCACATCCACGAATAAATTGCTTTTATTGTTGTCTGCCACGGCAGAAAGGTTCAGATTTATTTCTTTTAAAGCAGGATGTTGTAAATGAGTAACGCTGACTATGAAATCCTGAATCCTGGTTAGAACCACAGGTGGGCGGCAGCAAAAATCCAGTTGTGAAATGGGTTTATACTAAGATATAGACTCATTGCTTCTAAAATATCTCTATTCTATGCTATCTATTTCATTTGTAATATAGATCTCTTTAGTCAACTATATACGTCAGTGGCTCATTGCAAACAAATTGAAAATGTTGTTTTTCAAAACACAAGGTAAAAACTTTTAACAAGAAATTTTTATTTAGAAAAAAAGCACATTCTTAGTTCTGTCACTTCAATCTATCCTCTTTAATTTCCTTATCTTTCTCACCTTTACATTCCACGAAAAACACACTCTTTACACACATCTGGGGGGGGCTAATATGAATAACGTAATTCAGTTTCTTAGTTCAGCTGTCGGCTCCCAGAGGGGTTGCATAATTGCAGACCAGTCAGGGTGCCATGTCGTTTGTCACTAAAACAGCTAATAATGAACACATGACCATCTGAGCCAGAGCCTGGAGCAAAGGAAGATGCTGGCTTTAGCTGATGAATTATGATTTCTTATACAACTCATGCAATGCATCAGTCTTTTCAGAAACCGTATGTATCAAATATGATACATTTGGCCTTACAGGGTTAACAGCTAGAATGCCAAAGGTCTGCAATTGCTGCAAATGGAGGATTCTTTGACGAAAGCAAAGGTTGATGTAAAAAAAATAAATAAATATTTTTTCAAATACAAATCATTATTTCTAACCTTGTCAATGTCTTGACTCTATTTTCTATTCATTTCACAACGTACGGTGGTGAATAAGTGTGACTTTTCAGGAAAACACAAAATTGTTTTGGTGACCCCAAACTTTTGAACGGTAGTGTATATATATATATCTATTTATATTTATATATATATATATATATAAATAAACACAAAAAAAAAACTGTCACAGGTGGACGCACTTTATATACTGCATATATCCCATGCATCTTTTTCGTCCTTCCTCCACTTTGACTATTTGAGCTGATGTAACGAGCAACTTTCTCCACTGTGGGATCAAGGAAGGCAATCAATCAATCAATACATATATAACGTTATTACACTTATAAAACACAGCTTTTGTTGTCGTCTTCTCTTTAGTGAAAAGAGAAAAAGTCGGGTACAGTGTATAATTAGATCATCATGTAGCCAGAGGAGCTGAGAATATAAAGTCTATACTAATTTAGAGCCTTTTTAAGGTAGGGCTCTCCAAAACACTTTTCATACATTCAGTTTTACTCCCACTGGGACCCAGGGCACCACCAGGCCCTCTGACCATCAGTAGGGTGGAGTGAGGGTGAAGTGCTTTGCCCAATGACACAACAAATAAGACGGAAGGAGTTTGGGTTTTATACCAGCAAAACCTCTGCTTGCAGGACAAATTAATGCTTCCCATAATGTACTAAATCACTCAAGTGATTCTGCTTCTTTACACCCCGCACATTCTCTGTTCAAATGCTAGTTGTGGACGGAGAGGACTGTGCTGAGTAAGTGCCGTTTAAGTGAGGGTTACTTCTGTGCACAATCAGTGCAGTTGTTCATACTGCAGTGGCTGACTGCTAGATACAATAATACCTTAAAGTTCCCATATTTTGCAAAATTCACACTAGAAACACTCTGACTTACTTGACTTGACTTACTCACGGTAAGTCCTGTAGCCTGTGTATAAACTTCATAAATAAGAAACACTCTTCCACCTCTATCATTTCTCCACCTCTTTTACATAATATGTGTTTAAACTGTTTTGCTTAAAAAATATTCCCCTTGTGATTTCATGAGGGGAAATAAGCTGTCCTTAGCAGTCTGTAGCAGCCCATCAGTCATGCTATGTCCTTCATCTTCATGTATTATTCCACGCTCCTTCTGTATCTTTATTAACTCTGACTAGTTGTCATGGTTGCGGGTTGAGGGGGCATGACCTTCTGGAGGGTGGGGGAGTAAAAAAACAAAACAGCTCGTTTAGAACAGGGCTAAATGTATAGATTTTTGGTACAGGCTGTCTACCTAATCCATAAAGAATTTTCCTGCACAAAACATACTCATTGCTATTTTTTAAATCTTGTTTTCAAATGTAAAACTATATTGACCTTTAAATGAAATATTGATTCAACTCAAGTCGGGTCCACAATTCAAGTGCATTTTTCAGGCTTTGGTTGGATCAAGCTTTATGTTCCAGGGATGAGGATGGGAGCCTGTTCTATACAGTATGTGCTGTGACCAAAACGCAGATGTATGTTTATTAAAGTAGGTCTAATATCTAGAAAGAGAAAGAGCTTAACTCATTGATTTTCTTTCATAAAGACAGGTCAACAAATGATCCACACTGAAATACATAGAATCACTGACCCTCCGTGACTGGATCTCTTTGACATATAAGGGCAACAAGAATTCGGACACCCCCTCCAGACGGATTCCTTCTTTGTTCACTCGTAGGTTTCCCATACCATTCTGAAAAAGAAAGAAAGAGAATGAGAAAGTCAAGATTATATCTTTTTGAATATATTTACTTTTCACAGATTTTATTCATAAGATGGTTACCTGGTTTCCTTAACTGATATATATTTTAAATATTCGATTCTTCTTTCTAATACATGGCACAACAGTTTGTCATAAAAAGATGGATGGTATATTCCAGCTGTGGACATATGATACTTTTGATTGTGGTATTTCCACTCAGTAACACAATAATTGATTCAGAACTCCAACTTGGAGACGACTGACTCTGAATGGTGGGTTTGGTTTAATTAGATATTTATCAAGATTTGAAATTTCTACTTAAGAAATAAGAAAGAAAAAGTAAAAACTAAATTAAAAGAAAAAATATGAACCAGGAAAAGATAATAGCTTGAATCAACTGTCACCAGATAAGTCTCTTCCAACAAAGGTCATGCAGTAGACATTTAACATTAACATTGTGAAATGAAAGCTTTAGTCAGAACAGAACCTTGTGGTGTTAAAATTTGCATCAAAAATCCATACAGGGATATATCAATTAATCAAGGAAGACTTTAAATGTTTGAATCTTTTTCTTATCTTTATCAGCACTTACGCTGCAGCAGCACAGGCACAATTAGGCTCTTTTGATTTGTATCAACTGTAAATCAAATCTTAGATTTTGTGGTTTGAAACCAGTTTTCAATGTTTGCCCCCATTTCAAATTCTGTTGTTGGCAATATTATATTTACATACAATATTGACAGGTATTGAGTTGTAATAATAAAATATATGACTTATCAAATATATTGTATGTGTTGAAGGACCAAAAGTAACTTTTTTTTTTATCATTGGTACGATATATAAGATTAAGTTTAATAAAAGTTTGTGAAGGCACCATAACACTAAAGGAAAACAAAACATAAAACAAGTATATATGGCATAGATTACACAACTTTTGTTCAATCGCTGTCCTCTGAAGTTCTAGCATTTAAGACTTAGGTTATGTTCGTAACATAACAGAAGCGTTTCTAATAAATCGGTTTGCTCAGTAGGATAAAAGCAGCTTTGTGCCGGTTTGTGAGCAGTTACACCACATTTTACAGATTCCACACGAGTGAGTGCTCAAGAGATTGTTGGATCACGCTTACACGGTAAGATGAAATTCCTTTAAAACAGCCATGTAGGGAATTATAATAGTCAGGGATTTGACACAGTGGCAGCTACTGTACCATGTCAGATCTCTACTTCTGAAAGTCACAGAGCAGGAGGCACACTGAAAACTGATATGAAATGGCTGTCTTATCCTTGTTTGGTAAAACTCATGTGGGCTGAAGTGGACATCATGAAAATGAATAAAACACAAACTAACTTTGAAAGAAAAAACTGATTAAATATAGACAGAAATAATAGGGATATTGTTATTTTAAACACCAAAATCTAGTTCTGAACATTTATATCACGTTACACTGTTGCTTACATCCAGTACTTAGTAGGTGTTATATCACGTGGTGGAATAGGGATTCAATGCATTAAATCAGTATTCACCCTCAAATCGTTAAAGAAAATGACAAGGGTACAAAATGTTGGTAGAGCTGGTGAGCAGGTGAAATGAATGGCATGATAAAGTGGCAGAGAAAACAGGAATGACAACAGCTGAACCTTGACTGATTATACTGACAAGAAAAGAAAAAAAAAAAAAAATAATAACAACTGAACTAAAATAAAACTACCAGAGACATTTCAACAAAGGAAACATAAGATTTTATCACTAAACAATGACAATTAAAAAGCACGATCTAACTCTTACGACATGATGAAAAAATAATAAATTCATCTTCCTAACCCCAAATAATAAAACTAATAATATGATATAGCACCACCAAACACACTGGTCTTTATTTCCAAGTTTGAAGATGTTTCGCTTCCTATCCCTTAAGCATTTTCAATTCAAAATGTCTGGAATAGCGTTAAGTTCAAGGTTTTATACAGTAGCCCAACAATATAAAACCTCCAACTCAACGCTATTCCTGACATTTTGAACATTTTGAAAACTCTTCCTGGATGGGAAGAGAAACGTCTTCAAACTGGAAATTAAGTCCAGTGCATTGTTTATAATTTTCTTATTTTGGAATGACTGTGACCTGGATGACTGAAAATCTTCACCAGCATACACAGCTTCAAATTGAGTATCCGATGCCTGCTAGAATCAAATTTCTCTTTTTAGTTCCTCTTTTTTTTTTTTTCCTTATCACGGCAAGTGTTTATACACCTTTCAGACAGAAGAGAATTCAGGAGGTTTGGTAGGGAACAGTCAGGGTTTTGTTACATAGAATAAAGGAAAAGTCTAATTAATATTGTACAGCTTTTTGTATTGTATATATATATTTTATATCCTTTTAAATAGTTTTTACATGATCATGTTAAATCTAATGTACTTTACTGTGAAACATAAAGCTCTATAAGGGAAATTACAAGCTTGTAATTTCCTTCTCATAACAAATTGGAATTATACAGCAAATAATTCTATAGTGCTTTGTACCCAGAGGACATTAAATACCAATAGACATTCAGCTGTTCTCCGAAGGCTTTAAAAGTTTGTTCCTACATATTTGTTGCAGAGAGAAATAATACGTATGTCATAGAGCACTGTTCAATAATCCGCTGAAGAACATGATGTGACAGAATATGAATCTTTTTGCAAGGATTCTCAACTAAGGAAATAATTACAGTAACTTTTAATTTTGAGCCTGAGGTTCACTTTGCATTTGGGTTTTCAGTATGAACCATTATCTAGTGTCTAAATTACTTAAACTGGTTAAAGAAGTTAAAGAATAAGGTCAAATTCAGTCCTCTAAATATTACACAGATAGCCAGCCTTCTCCTCCAGTTTACCTTAAACTGCTTGTATGAACTGCAAAGACACAATACAATATCGGTACAACAGTAAAAAAAAAAAAAAAAAAGGCCAAAAATGTGCAGCCATCCACACCTACTTCACATTTTTAAAGGAAGCCAAAATGACAGTGTCTGATCAATAAAAGGTTTTCTGGTGTTGTAACATCCACAGCCATTACTCTGACAATATACTGGAGCATGGACCTTATTCAATAAGCAATTATACATCAGGCCACAAGAATCACAAATGAACCCAGTCACTGTAAAATGAAAATACACTGATAAGGAGAGAGAAACCAGAGATGTGAATAAAGATAAGATACTGAGGTAAGCTACATTCAAGCCAAAGTGTGCAATGCCTCTCTAAACCACTGAAGTACAAAAAACGAGGGAGATGAGGGTGTAAAAATTAATCACTTGGTTTTATTCCAACTCACTGCCCCAAAGTCCAAACCCCAGTCATTTTTAACATGTTGGCACTTCTTCACCAACTGAATCTCACGCATTGATTATCTTTTTGTTTCATCTTCCATCTAGTTCACATTATTGGCATGAATGGTACATTAACCATTTTTCTAAAGAAAGAGAACAATGGAAACGCATTATCAAGGTCAATGAAATAAAGAGGTTTTAACATATTTTATTTGTGTGTGAGTGTTTTGTTCACTTATTCCTTTTATGTTTGTGTAATTTATATTTATTCTGTTATGTCTGATGTTCACAATGTTAGTTAAAAAAAGAATGATCCAATGTTGAAATGCACTATGCTGACTATTAACTCAATTAAAATTAGTAAATGTACGTATTTTGTGCCAATTCACAGCACATGTCATCTCAAGACACTTTACAGAAACAATAAAACCAGATCATCCTGTCACATTCGGTTCAACGTTTTCCAGGCAAAACCTGCTGATTGTCACAGACTTGCAGGACGCACTCCTCCTAGAACAGCATTTGGCTACAAGATCTTCACTTGCATTGTGTTGACTCTACAGCAATCCCTCACATCAAGTATGCATGCAGCAACAGTGGAGAAGAAAAACTCCCTTCAACATGAAGAAACCTCCAGCAGAACCAGGCTTGGTGTGAGCGGCCATTTGCCAAGGATGACTGGGGTTCAAGGAGACAGAAGTAAATATACAAAATTAACATAATCACACATCTAAAGAGATCCTTTATATATAGATCATTACACCTTTGGAATAATCTACCTCACTACATCCGCTACACTGAGAGTAAATTATCTTTTAAAAAGAATCTGAGACTCCATTTGATGCCCTGAAGTGTTTCTGTTTTATCTGACTGTTTTATTATATTTGTTCTTGTTTTATTGGCTGTTTTATTTTACTTGTTCTTTTGTACTTCCTATAGTAATTTTAAGAAATTACATTTTTGGAAATTTTTATATTTGTAACTGTTTTTACTGTATGTTTTTAATGTGGACCCCAGGAAGACTAGCTGTTTGCCATGGCAACAGCTAATGGGGATCCTTAATAAAATTACAAATTACAAATTACACCGATCCATTAATACTTATATGCTAGAAAAGTAAATAAGTAGAGATGTTTGATTAAAGGTCCACATTTTAGGACAGCTCCAGACCACTTCCAAAACTGCTCCACTTGCTTCGGCTGCACAAATATTGTTTACTTTTCCTCCTACATTTGATTGCACACAATTACATTTTGAATGTCTATTTAAACCATTTAAAAATTGACCATGTTTGCTTAAAAAACATGTAATAAATACATATCTGATGTGTGGAATGAAATTTAAAATATATTTTGTCCAGTGGTCTTAAAATCCAATCTTCTATTTTATTATTTTAAGTGTGTAGGGGAAGGAACACATATAGCATCTGAGTTTCAGAACATGGTTTTGAACAGTTAAATGTCAAACCAACATGCATCTCTTATAAAGACTTATAAAAAAAAATGTATGCCACATTATTTGGTTCACTACCTTGATGCGGGTTGTTTTGCATTGTTAAAATAATTTCAGTGATAGAGGCTCTTTTTAAACATAATTTAAACCAAGAAAATATTTTTTTCTTTTTTCCTGAAACTACAGTTATACGCAAAATAATTCACTTTCCTTCTGGAAGCCAAATGTACACT